GTAATTAAGAGAAGACTGAGTTATTATCACTTTCTCCTCCGTATAATAATTCTGCATAAAAACATGAGAAATGGCTCTCATTAAAATCTCACAGCTGAGAAATCCACAGAAGGGAATGAGACATTAAAACAAAGCATTCAGGATGTGCAAATATTGTGATTAATTAATTAAACAGAGACCAGCTCTGAGGAAAAGCCTGAAAGCACTTGGGATATTTAAGAAACAGATATATCATAAAGAGTTAACATGTTCAGGTTGGTTTCAACTTGTCTTGTTTTGGTGGTTTTTTGGTTGCCTTTTTTTTTTTTTTTCAGAAGAGGTAGTTCAGAGCACATTGTGGATCTGTATTTGTGTATTTTGCTGGTATCATTTAACTCTGTGGATTCCTTCTGAATACTGGGACCTTATTCATCACTAAAGCCTTTAAAATACAAATCAATGGAGTGACTATTTAGAAAAGACTTAAAAGAGAGGATTGTTGATGGAGATTTTTTCCACACCAGCTAAAGGGCATTCTCTGTTAAACCTGAGAGACTTTCTGAGCTGTTCCAAGTGATTTTCACCAGAAGGATGCGTACAAAGACACTTCTGGTAATGCTGAAAAGAAAACCAAACCGGCTGCTGAGTCTTCTATGAAGCAAAGAATGAACAGGCATTTGAGAGGTTTTACCAGACAGAATGATGGTATTCTGGAGATCAGCTCTATTCAGAATATAAATGTCAGCAGCTGCTTAAATCTGGCTTCTGTCACATTCCTCAAGGTACCTTTATTCAAATACTGTGTTGTATCATGACAACACCCATACTGTATACTTTGGAGTATTGAATAACGTTCAGGACTACTTTGGCTGCTATGCAACATTAATTCTAGCAGCATCCTCTGTAGCAATTAAGAGGTTTAGGTGTGAATCATATAAATATTCAGGTTATGTTACTTTTTTTAATGCTTGGAAGTTAACCCAGGAAAGGAAACCTCTACCTCTTTTGCTAAAGGGGAAAAAAACCAAAACCAAACAAACAATAAAGAAAAAAAAAAGAAACAGAAACAAAAATTAGAGGTGAGAGAGAGAGAAATTCTTGTTCTATGGCATTAAATAGTAATGTCATGTAATACACACCCAAAAGCTTAACAGAACTGTAGTAAGACTAATTTAGCCCATGTCTATCTAATCCTTCATTAGCATACTATTATTTTTTTTGCCCAGTGGGTATATTGCCTGTTGAGAAATAATGTGAATATTTATTAAGCAGTAATAACTGTTGCTGCTTGAGAGCTTTTTTTGCCACGTGTGAACATGCTTATCTAGAGAAGAATTTCAGGCAATGATCACCCTTGGGATTCAATGAATTCATGCGTTGCATGTCCTATCTTACTACACCGCTCCACGGCAAGATTTCTGTTTTTCTGATGAGATTCCACTTCGAGCACAGACACTGCAAACACATCATCACCTCTCAGAACACAGTGCTTGTCTTCTGGAGTGCTTCAGTGTAAGCACAGAACTAGTCCATTTCAGCAGCTAAAGAGGGGCAAGGCTGCTTCTGTTTGGTGCAACAGGCTAAGCAGTTTCTGCATGAGGCTGGAGTAGTCTCCTAAGAACACAGCTCAGTCATCTTCCCATAGAAATCAGGGAGCATCTTTCTACCTGTTTCAGAGGATAAGGATAAAACTCTCTATTTTGACATCTAGCTTGTGTTCAATATCAACGATTTCCCCCCAAAAATACAACTGCCACTGCATATTGCATGTATGAAATAGAAGTCTAGCTCAAGATATCAATTTTAATGGGTTGAAATCACTCATTTGTATTTCATTTGTATGAAATTAAGAAGTTAATTAAGAAGTTAATTTCAAAGCAGATTTTCATTTTCTGAAGAAATAAAGATGCTTAGTGTATATATTTTCTGCAATTAAAATGGTTGTGCTACTAGCCAGGTAGTCACATTTTTTGTGCATACATTTTTGATACAGCAGTATTGAAATGTTATTTTTAGAGCTAGGGTGATGTAAGGAAGCAGTGCTATATTACTGGTACATAACAAATTTAAACTGAAGCTAACTCTGCATGAACAAAAGTTAGTACTGCAATCGATTATACTTGCTACACTGATGGAAATTAAGGGTGATTTCATTGAAATCAGTGAATGTAAGAGGTTTACTTTTCCTTAAATGAAATACAAGTGAGATCTACTAATATTTATTTCAGACTAGCTTATGAAAGTATGAACAAACCAAACAATTATCAAACACCAGCTGTAACCTTTTATCATTCTTTACTCAGTTGGCAGTTAAGTTGTAGTAAAGCAGCATTTATTTAAAAAGAAAGAGAATAACAAATCATAAATGTTTTTCATTTTACTGACTTTACTTATCATTTATTTACCACATACCATTTTGTTAGTGTCATAAGTTTTTGACAACTATGGTATCTTAGTCTGATTTACATTGATGGAAAATAGAAAAGAAAGAGACCAGTTGCCATATAGAATATGGAAAATAATTATTATGCTAATAATATAATTACAACATGTTAAAAATATCATTTAGGAATGCTAAATACTCTGCAGGTAGATGGAACTATGTGTACATCCTCTGTGATGCTTTGGATATTTTTATTAAATAAAGGTCTATTTCTTATGGTTAGATTTTTCAATTAATTGCTGATGACCTGGAAATACACTCACTGAAGCTCAGGCTCTCTTGCATGTATTATGGCATTTAAACTAAAAAGGCAAGAAATCAATTCAATTGTTTGTGCTGTAATTGACTGAATAGCAAATGTGACACAGGATCTTGAAAGGTCAAAATGAGAAACATGCCCAGAACACTTATTTGTAAATAATTTTCACCAGTTTTTATTTTAATCAAAACTTGGTTAATAATTGAATTATACCTTTTATTTCATATGTTAAATAATTTTCATTATCTGGGCACATCTTTGTATTTCTGTTAAAATTACTGTATCTTTTACATGCAACACTGCATTTAAAAATCTAATTCACTTCTCAAATCACAGATTCTGGAAAGGTGTGGCATGCAAGGAATAAAATGATGGTCTTCATAGCATTAAGCTGTGGTTGAGAGGATGACAAGCTGTTTCATCTGCTTTCAGTGGCTGGACCATGCTGTGGCAGCAGCTGGGTCAGCAGGGGAGGAGGTTTCCCGTGTCACTTGGTGGCCTCTGCACTGTGCTGTGGAAGGCACCTGCTGCTGACAGACACTGCAGAAGCAGCCTGAGCACACAAAGAGCAAGGCTGGTGCACCTCTGCTTCCAGCTGTCTGGTCTTCCCTGCTCCTGGCTTGCAGGGAGAATTCCCCAGAGATTTTTCTGCTTCAAATTCTCAAATGTCTGACAGTCTGTGGCCCCATCTCCCAAGCCTCCAGGGCCTCTGCTGTGATTCAGGGCAAAGGAGGGTAATTGCCCAGCACAATAAGGAGCCCATCCACCCTGAGTGGCCTCTGTCCCTCCACACAGGTATCCACTCCAGAACAAGGGACTGGTTCCTTGGCCTCAGCAACGACGTCGTGCTTGCTGCAGCACTCATTTGCATTTTTCAAATACCACCTTTCCACTTGGCCCTTACCTACACTCTGGACTAGAACATATTGACAGAAGTGTCTTTTTTCTTCCCGTTTGTCTCCCTGGGGACTTTCTCTCACTACAGGTCCTGGCAATAGAGCCTAAGATCAGAAATGGGCTCTGCCCAACCCGGTGCCATGCTTGTTTCACCTCCTGTTACTTGGTGCCCAAGGTGCTGCAGTAGGGATCCTGTCTGGATCAAGGGCTTTACCATGGAGAGTGCTGCCAGGTGTTGATGGGACACCAGTCGTACCATTCCCTCAGGGAATGAGGGCTGACTCAGTCCTAGCTTGCTCTGGTGCTTAGGCTCACAGGACACCTATTTTCTCAGAGGATAATGCTACTATTGAAAAGATAAAGGTGAGAAGAGAAAAGACACATAAAAAAATGGAATAGGAATAGAACATATGCATTAGTCAGCCTTTTCAATGAATAATAAAAAGCATTTTTATGAGATTAAATTCAAGTCTTGTGTAAGTGAAAGAGGGATACTGTACTTGCTTTCTGTAAGATACTGAATTTTATCTAAGCAGCCTTGCATTCTGTAAAAGAAAACACTAAAAAGTTGCACAAATGTTGACATCTCCAAACCTACCTCTCCTAAATTTTTTTAATAATCTGATAGCTCCTTCTTACACACTAGTTTGCTTTCATTTTGAAATCACCTGTTGTTAACTTGCTTTCTTTCTATGGTTGTTTTGTTTTATTGTTTTGCCCTTCAAACTGCCCTACCCTAAAACTTCTAGATATTTTCGCCACTACAAAGAATTTCAACACTGTTTGGTATTCTGCCTTGTAAAAATAAAGTACAAAGCAAAGCACATAAAAATATTAATACTTTGTTGTCACACTTTTTGAAGTGTATTGGGGATAAAAACAGGCACCGGCATGAATGTAAAGGAGTAATAGTGGAAACATAAAACAACAACAACTTATCATGCTAAAGGAAATCTTTCTTTACTATGTGTTTGGTGAAATCCATTAATATAGACTTAATAATTCCTTTGCAAGAATTTGTGAAATCTCTCCACCTCTCTTTGTTCCCTTAGTCTAAATGTTCCTGTATTTCTCTGGATGTGGTACTTGGGGGATAAAGAATTCCCAGTATACGCTCATATCAATAAACATATTGGATGAACTGAATATATTCTGTAATCTGCTTCATACAGCAGCTCTGCTAGCAGGATCTCGTGGTTTCCTGAGCTCTGAAGATACATGAAGCATCTGGCTTTGCTAAGAAAATGAGGCTAAACTGTAGATCTTTCTTTATAAAGCATGAAAGCAGTGTGGTGCAGTTAAGCTACTGTCAGAAAAGTAACTCTCTTTAAAGCATGAAAGCAGTGTGGTGCAGTTAAGTAACTCTCTTCCTTAAGATAACCTGTCCCTTTTCACAAAGACCTGGTGTTTGCCACTTAGATAGGGCTTACTAGATACAGGGCGGAGTTTTTCAAGGGGAGAATTAGATAATTCTGCTCTGTGACTGCAAGCTAAGGTAGTTCTCAGGGCCTTGCCCTTTAACTTATCCTATCACTATAACTGAATAAAGAGCTGACCTAGCTCAGATCTTTGACAGTAATCGTGCGTGAGCAGTTTGGCCAAGATCTAGTGTTGTACTTTCTGCCAGGTCACAGGGAGAGAAACCTTGAGGTCTTTTCATTTCTTACATCTTACCTGTGCAACAGCAAGACAGCTTAGTCAGTGCTGAACAAATGCCATGATCTGACTAAGGATTTATACACCACAAGGGAAATGTCCTCTTTCAGACACTGTGATTTTCTGGGCAGTTCTTTTAGACTCTAGAGCCACAGAAGTCAGTGGAAGCCCTGCCACAAATTGCAGGGTCCATCCCCTTGGTATCAACCTTGAAGAAATCCTCTGTGTTGCTCCTACTGGGCCATCAGTAAAGGCACTCTAGGAGAAACCCCTTTGAGCCAGCTCCAGTTACTCAGTTATCCCATCTCTTTCATAGACCAAAACTAAATGGCCTCTTTGCCGCTTCGCTCTTCCATGGAACTTAAATGTATCAGTTAAAGCAATTATAAAGTTTTGTCAGAGATATCCCGTTTGTATCAAAAACATGTCAAAGACACCTAGGCAATTCCTCTGCATGGTGTGTCTGGTTTAGAGTCCACCCTTTCAGCCAGACAAGTGTCTGCTCTGAATCTCAACATGATAAAGAGGTCAGGAATAAGCAATAGTTACTGTTACTGCAGGGACACAGCTTAAGTGGCTATGTGTTCAACTAGAAACTCACATAAGATCAGAGCAAATGACATGAAGCTGTGTCAGAGGAGGTTTAGATTGGATATTAGGAAGAAGTTCTTCACCCAGAGGGTGATTGGGCTCCGGAGCAGGATCCCCAGAAGAGTGGTCATAGCACCAGCCTGACAGAGTTCAAGAAGCATTTGGACAAGTTTCTCAGGGACGTGGTGGGATTCTGTTCAGGGCCAGGAGTTGGACTTTGATGATCCCTGTGGTCCCTTCCTATTCAGGATATTCTGTTTCTGTGATAACCGTGGGACTTTGTTGTCATTTTAACATATCGCAGATGATTTCTGCTTTTCAGAAGGCGGCTGCACCACCCTGATTCACCCACCTGGTTGGGTTCCTCGTGGCTACCAGCCCCACTGGCCCAGGCACCCCGAGCAGGGTGGCAGAGGGGCATTGCTGTCAGTGTGAGGTCAGGCTGCTCTCCTGAGTCCTGCCAGTGCAGCACAGGCTGGGGGAGCATCCCAGCTCCTCCCTGCTGCCCTGCTGAGGGCTTCTTCCTTGCAAAGCTTCCCTGCAGGGCAGATAAGGACGTCCGGGTAGGGTGACAGATTCCAGGAGGAGGAGAGGGGAGGTGGGGGAGACCATCCCCTCTCTCTGCTGATGCTGCTGCTGCTGGAGCTGTGCTGGAACCGGAGCCGTCGATGTGGCTCCCCAGAGTTAGTTGCTCGGCAACCAGAATCAATTAATATGCTTTGCAGAAAGTGCAGGGAAAGCCCGAGCTGCTGTCAGCGAGCAGGCAGGAGGCTGAGGGTGACTCAGGATCCCACTCCTGCCTGACACCCATTTGGTCCCACCCCATCTTCTCCAAACACTCTGTTAGCCACTGTTCTTTTCCCCTTTCTCCTTCCCTAGGGTATTTAATGTGTGCGTCCCCAAATTCTTCAGGCAAAGTACCTCGTTGCTCAAGAAGCCTCCTGCTTCAAGGCTTTTGCTTTTAGAGTCTGATTTGTATTTTTTTATTATTTTCAGATTTTCTTCAACACTTTTCTAGAAATTCTAATATTCATGTTCTTTGGGAAGGGGAAGGGATAGCTGGTTTTTGTCAGATGGTTTTAAAGATACCTGAGGATGAAAAGGGGTTTTTGGTAGTATACAGTTGAGCAGCAGAAATGAAAATGCATCATGTGTAAATTGGGAAAGTTTTTGCCTCTTCCTTTGTTACAAATGATCAGCACTGCATATATGAGACCAAAGAGATAGTACTGATTGTTGTGAAACACCTAGATAATAGAGTAAATGAGGGGGTGTTGCGGGATTTTTATATCTTGTCCTTTTCAGTGTAGTAATTTCAGGGCTTTGGTAAGGTATTATTTTCTTCTTTTCTTTCTTTCTTTTTGATTTTCTTTGGAGTCCCTCTGATGACACCGTGAATCTGGGAATGAAGAACTTCTTAGAGCTGATTGGAAATGGCATTGCGGAGCTGAAACTTAACTGGAGGAAATACATCTCCTGAAGAAGAAAATATAATGCACTGTAAGGATCTGTCTTCTGGTGAAAAATTCAAGCCTAGAGAAAACTTGTCCGCTTTGTTAGGAAGAATGGGTTGGACAATTTTCTTCAGTTCCAAAGGATATCTGAATGCCATGCTGAGCTTAATCTCTGCAGCATGCTCTGTGCTTCTCATCTCTTCCTGATGCACTGCATGGTAAGGCCTTTTTCCTTTATTTTAATAATAAATATCTGATGTGGTGAGAGGTATAAAAAATAGCAATAGTGAAATGAAAATTGAAAAAAATGTAGAAACGTAACAAAAGAATGTTTGCTTGCATGGTTGTTTTCAGGAGCAAGTGTCCTGATTACTGCAGCAGCTTTGTAAGATCATTTCTGTCTTTCTCCCTTGCTTTGTGACAGTGTGTGTGTGTGTGTGTGTGTTTCTGCACACCTGTGCTGTCATTTGCACTTGGACTGGAACATCTGCAGCTGCACTGTACATATTTCCATGCTAAAGAGGATGTTTAGGAATTCGCTTTGACATTTCTCTCTCTTTTTCCCTCCCTCCATTCCCCTCCTCCTGCCTCCTCCTTCTCTTGCTCTGTCTGTTTCTCTGGGGTGATGGTTCTATACCTTCCCCGCACCTCAGTCATGCACTGACCACTAGAAGGCAAAAATGGGAGGTAAAAGAAATCCTATATCAATGCAAGAATGAGTAATATTATTTTAGTAAATGAAAGTAACAGAAAGGTTTTGAATGTCTGCAGTACTGGCAGGTACAAAGGATTTATTCTGTTTTGTTTCCATGGGAAACAACCACCAAGTGCAGACTTGGATGCTGTGTTTTAGAAACAGTGGGAGACAGATCCTCTTACACATGTCAGAAAGCTGAAAATGTGAATTATTATCCAGGTCATAAAAGAAACAAATCCCGTATGGGATGTTCTCACATCAAATAACTTTTGCTGTGTATTAGAGGAGTGCTGAGAATTACTAGAAATACCTTCAGTGGGCATTGCCAGATATTTTTTGTTAATAGCTGTAATGTGGTTTTGTCTTCCTGGGTGAAGGGTGCTAGGGGAGTGCAAGGAGATGTAACTACCTGACTTACAAATACTTAGGGTCGTTGTCAAGAAATTGCCTGGCAATCAGGTATTGCACAATTAATAAACTGGGATGGAAGAGCAGTTTTATTTTCCAGGAAGACTGGTTTATTTGGGTCTTTGTTTTAGAAATCAGGGTAGAACTAAAAGGTGATATAGCGGTGATGTGAAACATATATTTTCTTATGCATTCTGGTTGATCACCGAGTTTGGAAAGTTGAGTGGTTCTTGAGTAAACTGTGGTAAGGCCCTGCCTCCACTCTGAGGACAACCCCTTGGAAATCTGACTGCTTTTGATAGGGCTGCAAAAAGATCAGGAGCAGGTTTGTGTGGCAGCTGTCGTGGACTGTGCAGCCGGGTATGGAGAGGACAGGTTCCTGGCAGCAGGTTTTCAGGATGGGAAGGATAAATAAAGCCAAATCACAAAAGCCAGGCCACAGCAGGACTCATGAACAAGAATCAGAGCTTAAATACAATTCAAAAGATGTAATTTTGTCATAGTTTCCAATAAATCTCCTCCTTGTATGATGGAGGACTCCATAAGACAGTTTTTAAAGAAAGAATGGTAATGCAACTTCTTCAAATCATTGCAGCAGGAGGACGCACAGATGAAAAAACACATTGTAGTGTGACAATATTTCAACAGGGTTCAGAGGAATCAGCCTTGACTTTAGGAGTAAAGGTTCAAATCACATATACTTGTGCATTGAAGCAGAAATTTTGTGTATTTTGCTATCTAAAATGTGTGACTAGTGTAAGAACCAATAAGCAAAACTAAGGAAGAACACAACCCACAAATGTCATCTTCCCTGTCAGAAAGAATCTCTTACTTGCAGAACTCATCCCCTCAACTCTCTGTGTGAACAAGGACTGCATCCTAAATTCAAGTTGACCATTGCAAACCTCTCCTTACATCAGCAGCTCTATTTCAACCAGGGGAACAACTTGCATGAATGTTTTTGTTAACCCCAGCTGGAAGCTAAACACTGCAGGACTGCTTGCTCACTCCCCCCTGGTGGGACAGGAGAGAGAACCAGAAAAGTACAAGTGAGAAAACTCCTGGGTGAGACAAAGACTGTTTAGTAGGTAAAGCAAAGTCCACACACATTCAAGCAAAACAAAACAAGGAATTCATGCGCCACTTCCCATGGTTCAGTCATCTCTGGGAGACCCAGGCTCCATTGTGTGTAATGGCTACTTGGGAAGACAAATGCCATAATTTTGAACATTCCTTCTCCCCTTTTCCTTTGCCTTTCCCCTGTTTTATATGCTGTTTTACGTGTTTTATGACACCATATAGTACAGAATATCCCTTGGGTCCGTTGGGGCCATCTTTACCAGCTGTGTTCCCTCCCAGTTCCTTGTGCAGCCCCAGCCCAATCTCTGGTGGGGTGAGATGAGGGGCACCAAAGGCCTTGGCACTGTGGAAGCTCTGCTCAGCAAGAGATAAAACATCTCTATATTGTGAGTATGCTTCTAGCACCAAACATAGCCTCTTACTAATTACTAGAAAGAAAACTATCTCTCTTCCAGCTCAACCCAGCACATTATTCCTTATTCTACACCACTTACATCGTGCTCAGCTATCACACTATCCAATACATCCTCATTAATCAACCCCCCTTCCCATCTTTATATATAACACGCAGATATCACTGCCTTAGTCTATGGACCACCCTTGTAAAATATCCAGAAATGTCCACAAAAATCTCTGTTGAGTTCATTTAGTCCATGACTTTGGGCTCCATCTCTTACTGTGGTCACTCAGAATGGGAGAGGTCAAAACTAGCACAGTGAGTAAGAACTACTCATGTGGATAAATTCTAAAAGGTTTTGTAAGACCAGCCTCTTTGGTTGTCATGGCAGCAGATTTATTAGGTTTCAGGCATAATTTGGATTTTCCCTCTAAACAAAATGATTTTTCTTTTTACCTATGCAAATCTTTTGCCTTGTAATTAGAGCAAGAAAAATAGGTTAATTACATTTTTAAAGATCATGCAACTGTATAGATACATTGTTAGAGAAAAACTATCAGAGTATGCAAAAATTTACCTTTATTAGTGGTCTCCAAAATGAAGTAAAGTGTATTCTGATTGGAAACATTCATTGCCTTATTATTTTTCTGACAATATTAACATTGCTACTGGGTATTGTCAGTTCTTCCAGGAACCCATCCTGGGTTCATTTGAAACATCACTGATATTACAAAATACTCTCTATTATTAGGTTCAAGGATACTTACCCAGCTTTTTACTACATTAAATATGTTCATTTTTTAGTTAATGCATGATGTTCAGCTCTTTAGTTGATCCAGGAACATTTATCTTTACAGTGTAGAAACATAATATGAAATCATAATTATAGTAAACTTCCTAAAGAATATAGATATATATTGAAATAGGGAGGATAAAATCATCTGGGTTTCATTTCTCTGTGCAATTTTGCGTGCTTATAAATGTCTATATTATTAGGATATATATTGCATAACAAGCAATATTTAATTAATTATAATTTGTAAAGAACAGTTCTGTTTTACATAGGATTTTTTTCCACAAGGTTATGCATTATGGTAGGAAGAAAAATATTTTAAAAACAAGCATAGCAGCTTAATATGTATTCAGTACACTAATGCAGTAATGGATTCATTTGTTTATATTATCCCTGTAATATACATTGTGAAAATAGTGGGCTCTTTTCTAAAGAGTGTGTATTTTGAGAGAGAAGGGTTTACATGATACCGGGTGTTCATTTTCTTTAGCATACATTACTGCCCATGATTTGCTGTGACTTAAGACACTTCAGTGGCATTTTAAATGATTTTAAAACTTGCACAACAGCTGCATTTGGCTTTCTCTGTCAATTCTAAAGCAAGTACAATTAGTAATTTCCTTTTCTTTTAAGATGTTTAGAATAAAGGTTCGATGCTGAGAACACCTGTATTTCATTTCAGTCTGTTGAACTATTTCTTTAGAAAAATAGTATGAATTAAACCTTGAACCATCTGCATTGTCAGGGAAGTTATACTGAGCAGTGGAAATATTTTCCACACCTGCAGCAACTATTTCCAGTCAAGAAAAATATGGCACATAAGCAGTACCTCTATTCCTGAATGCCTTGAGCTGTCTTGGTTTAAGATCCAGCAGAAACCTGATTTTTGAAAGGCCTGCAAAAAACCCAAAACAAATTCCAAATGAAACGTAAAGTTTTGTAGTTTAAATGTAAATGTCCATAGAAAGAATATTTTTTGGTCAAGTAATTTCTATAGATCAACATCTGTGTTTTATATAAACCAGGATCAAAAATTGAATTTTTTTAAAAATGAGAAGTTCTAAAAATCAATATGTTGGGAAATACTGATGTCAACATGACACAATATTTCATTTTGACATTTTTAATCAGACTATCATTTGCTACAAGAAATTGTGCTGATATTTATTTATCTGTTTTTCCCAGTGAAGTTTTGCAACATCGGTTTGTTTTTTCTTTTAACAGGAAAGTGTTATTGTTGTGATTTTTTTCACTAGATCTTTTATACCTGTCCCAGTATTTATTGTCTCTCACAAGTCATTCCTTTAACTAGAAGCTTTCTGAAGGGTCATCTTTAGCACTCATATTGCCTAGCCCCATATTACTGACATGAGCAGCAGTTCTCACGAGGCCTATGGTAGAACATAATCTCTGGTGGCAATTCCCTCCTTTAATTCTTGTGTCTTCAAAAAAAGCAGGCCTCTATTTTTCCCTGTTTTACAGATATCAGAAGTAGTGCTTTTTACTACAAAAGCCTTCAAGAGGCCTTCAAAAGGCATGCAGGAAAAGTAGAATTAATCTAGTATTAATATCCTTATTAAATAGATAAGGAAGGGAGCAACAAAGAAACTGCCCAAAGCTATACTGGCAAGGGAAGAGTTCGGAATTGAACCCAAATGTCCTTATTCTCAGTTCATCACTGTCCCTGCAAGGTTGGTCTTCATTTTGTTCATTTCTTTGCTTAATGGCTTATATTTGGACTTTTAAGTTAATATTAGCTGAAGTATCAAATGTGAAAGGGAATTACTGATGCATACTTCCTTTCCAGTCTGACACAGTTGTTCCTAAAAATTCTTTTTTCTCT